TTTTTAGCTGCCGCGTCACACTGTTGGCTCATGTCAAGTTTGTGGTCAACCAAGACTCCTAGATCCTTTTCACATGTACTGCTCTCAAGCCAGGTGTCACCCATCTTGTATTTGTGCCTCTCATTTTTTTTGCCCAAGTGCAATACTTTACATTTCTCCCTGTTAAAATTCATCTTGTTTGTTTTGGCCCAGTTCTCTAATCTGTTAAGGTCGTTTTGAAGTGTGATCCTGTCCTCTGGGGTGTTAGCCACCCCTCCCAGTTTGGTGTCATCTGCAAATTTGATCAGGATGCCCTTGAGTCCATCATCCAAGTCGTTGATAAAGATGTTGAATAAGACCGGGCCCAAGACAGAACCCTGTGGCACCCCACTAGTCACTCTTCTCCAGGATGAAGAGGAACCATTGATGAGCACCCTTTGGGTTCGGTCAGTCAGCCAGTTACAAATCCACTGAGTGGTAGCATAGTCAAGACCGCATTTTACCAGCTTCTTTACAAGAATATCATGGGGCACCTTGTCAAATGCCTTGCTGAAATCAAGGTAGACTACATCCACTGCGTTCCCTTCATCTACCAGGCTTGTAATTCTGTCAAAAAACGAGATCAGGTTAGTCTGACATGACTTATTTTTCAGAAATCCATGCTGACTATTGGTGATCACAGCATTCCTTTCTAGGTGCTCACAGACTGTTTGCTTAATGATCTGCTCCAGAATCTTCCCTGGTATTGATGTCAGACTGACTGGGCGGTAATTATTTGGGTCCTCTCTTTTCCCCTTTTTGAAAATAGGGACAACATTTGCCCTCCTCCAGTCTGCCGGGACTTCGCCTGTTCTCCAGGAATTCTCAAAGATGACTGCCAGTGGTTCTGAAATCACATCTGCCAGTTCTTTTAATACTCTTGGATGCAGTTCATCTGGCCCTGGAGACTTGAATACATCTAGACTAGCCAAGTATTCTTGTACTATCTCCTTAGTTATTCTGGGCTGTGTTTCCTCTGCTGAATCATTTGCTCCAAATTCTTCAGGTCGGGCATTGTTTTCTTTATCGGAGAAGACTGAGGCAAAGAAGGCATTGAGGAGTTCAGCCCTTTCTGTGTCCCCTGTTTGCATTTCACCATCTTCTCCTCTGAGTGACCCCACGGTTTCTTTGTTCTTCCTTTTGCTACGGACATACCCATAAAAGCCTTTTTTGTTGCTTTTAACCTCTCTAGCAAGCCTGAGTTCATTTTGTGCTTTAGCTTTTCTGACTTTGTGTCTACACGTGCTGGCTATTTGTTTGAATTCCTCTTTGGTGGTTTCCCCCCTTTTCCATTTTTTGTACACATCCTTTTTTAATCTTAACTCAGTTAAAAGTTCTTTAGATAGCCACCCTGGCTTCTTTAGGCACCTTCCATGTTTCCGTCTCATTGGTATTGCCTGACGTTGTGCTTTTACTATCTCCCTCTTAACAAACTCCCAGCCATCATGAACTCCCTTTCCTTTTAGTATTACTGTCCATGGGATCTCACCCAGCACTTCCCTAAGCTTTATGAAGTCGGCTTTCTTAAAGTCGAGAAATTGAGTCCTAGTATGCTTGGCTGCTCCTTTCCGCTGTATAGTAAACTTCAGAAGAGCATGATCACTCGCGCCTAATGATCCTTCCACTTCTACCCCACTAACCAGGTCATCAACATTGGTTAGGACCAGATCTAAAATGGCTGTTCCTCTTGTTGCTTCTCCCACTTTCTGGACAATGAAGCTGTCTGCAAGGGCAGTGAGGAATCTGTTTGACCTTATGCTCTTGGCTGAGTTTGACATCCAACAAATATCCGGGTAATTGAAGTCCCCCATTACTACTATCTCCCTTCCTTTTGCATGCTTGGCCATCTGTTCCAGGAAGGCATCATCTATGTCCTCCGTTTGGCTTGGGGATCTATAGTAAACTCCCACAATGAGGTCACTGTTATTCTTCTCTCCCTTAATTTTGACCCAAATGCTCTCACTTTGGCTTTGAGGTTCTAAATCTTGGATCTCTTCACAGGTATACACATCCCTGACATATAACGCCACTCCTCCTCCTTTCTTGTCTGGTCTGTTTCTTTGAAATAGATTGTATCCCTCCATTATTACATTCCAATCGTGGGATTTATCCCACCAGGTTTCAGTGATTCCTATTATGTCATATTTAGTTTGCTGTACCAGGAGCTCAAGCTCATCTTGTTTATTTCCCATGCTTTGCGCATTAGTGTACAGACATTGAAGTCCATTAATCATTCCCCCGTGTCTCTTATTTAATGATTTTCTCTTCCCACCACTAGGTCTGCATGCTCTTTGCTCCATTCGGTCTATGACATTTGGATGATCATCTTCATCAATTGATAGACTCCTACCTTCAGGAGCACTGTCTCCCTCCCCCACATTAGTCAGTTTAAAGCCCTCCTGATGAGGTTTCTGAGATTTTTTGCAAAAACATTCCTCCCAACCGTTGTGAGGTGCAGCCCATCGCTTGCCAGAAGTCCATCTTCAAGAAACTGCATTCCGTGATCTAAGAATCCAAACCGTTCCTGTTTGCACCATTTGCGAAGCCAGTTGTTCACTTCCACTATTTTTCCCTCTCTCCCTGGGCCACGTCGTTCAACTGGGAGGACAGATGAGATGACAATTTGTGCATTTAATTGCTTCAATTTCCTGCCCAGAGCCTCGTAATCTCTTTTGATCTTCTGGAGGCTATTGCTTGCAGTGTCATTGGTTCCCACATGAACCAAGAGGAAGGGGTATTTGTCAGTGGGTTTTATGATTCCTTGCAGTCGTTCAGTTACATCTTGGATCTTAGCCCCGGGGAGACAGCACACTTCCCGAGACATCTTGTCAGGCCCACAGATCACTGCTTCTGTTCCCCTCAGTAGGGAATCCCCTATCACCACTACACGCCTCCTCTTAGGTCTGGTCGGGGTTCTTCTGTGAGCTGTCGGTTCCAAGGTCGCCTGGACATTCCCAGAGGACTGCCTTTGCTCCTCGTCTTCATATACCTGATCGACTGTAATGAGGGAGAGATCCTCAAATGGAGTCTGCTCTTCGTCTTCCATGCTAGGGGAAAGGACCTCAAAGCGATTGCGTATTTCTAAACAATCAGAGCGAACCCTGGGCCTCCTACTTCTTTGAGTCACGTTTCTCCATATATCTGGCTCCTGTGTTGGTGAACTAGCCACCTTCTCAGGGGAGTCCCCTGTCTCTTCCTTGGTGGAGACGGTGTGCTCTGTTGCTTCCAAGAAGAGTTCCAGCTCTCTAATTCTTTGGAGCGTAGCTACACGTTCCTCCAGTTGCTGGACTTTGTCTTTTAAGAGGGCAATCAACATGCAATTGCTGCAGGTAAAGCTGCCTGCAACCTTTGGCAAGATGGCAAACATTGCGCAGGAACCACAGGCGACTGCAGCTGTTCCCTCACCCTCCATCTTGGGAACGTGTCGTTGGGGGTGACTACAGTGGTCCTCTATCATAAAAAGTGTGGAGACAGGACAAATAAATCCCTCCCAAAAAAATCTAGGTCTCCCCCAACAAATGTTTGAGACTAGCTCCCCTAAATCTAAAATATGGATCAAACTGCGCGCGCCGCTAGGCGCGCACCGCTGCCCTAAAGCTTAAAGTTAAATATTAATAAAATACAATGTAATCTTTAAAAATCATTGAGAAATAAGTACCAGGTGTTTGTTCTCCTAGTGTTTTTGCCGTAGTCAGAACATTGGAAAGTAGGAACAGGTTTACTTCTTTCACAAGAGACCTTGGAAGAAAGTTGCAGTGTGATTTGCTTCTGAACACTATGGACTGCCATGCCCCCTTTTATGATACTCCATTCCAGTCCGTCCCCCTATTTTCTGTAACCCCCACCCCCCAAAGTCAGCATCCCCTGTCCATGGAACATGCTCAGCAATCACTGAGCTATTTCTGGGGCTGTTTTCACCTTAGTTCTAAAACTTTTGGGGGAGCTGGCTGGCCAGATGATTCGGTGGAAACAATCCTCATGGCTCCCTGCTCCCGAACCTTGAAGGCCAAAATCCAACCTGTGAATTGGAGCCCCAAGCAGACTGGGAGCCAGTGAAGTTTGCAACTACACTGTTTCTGGGCCCCATTCATGGGCGTAGCCAAGGGGTGGGGTGGGGAGAGGCAGCTGTGTCCCCGTCTCCCCGGCAATCTATAAAAATCAATAAAAATACATAGCTGAGATTCTGCCCCCCCCCCCCCGCAACAAAAATCCTGGCTACACCCATAGCCCCATTCAAAGTGATACAGTATACTCATTCTACCTGATTACAAATCTTGCAGCTGTGCTCTGAATTAAAAGGAAATTTCTGGAGCGTCTTTTAGGCAATGTATGTGCAATAAATGTGCTGCAGAAGTCCAGGCAGGAAGGGGCATGGAGAAAAGGCAACGTAGACTAACTGAGAGCCATACTAGCCTTATTTTCCTAAGCCTTTTAATGCCTTGGCTCCAGGTTAATTTTATTTGGGCTATGGTTATAGTTTGTATTTTATTGCTTTTCAGTTACAAATGAATCAGTTACTTTGAAAAGGAGAAAATAGATTATTATGATTGATGGGCTATATAGTTTTTATGCTGCTTTTATATATATATAAAACGATTCTATATATATATATTTAACGATTAAGCCTGTACCACATTTCCCTGCACCTGCTGCCCTAATCCTGCTGAATAGGTTCACAGCAAACATGCAGTGCCATTGCGCAACAGCAGTTGGATCGGGGCATAAACTTTCCTGGATTGCAGGCGGCTGGAGGGCGTTGGACACGTAAACAGGACGATCACGTCGCCACGCGCCCTGCCCCCCCCTCCCGCCACTGACTACAACTCCCGGCACGCCTTGCTGCCTCTCGTACCGCCCGCTGCTCGCTGAATGGGGGCTGTGCCTGATTGGCAGGATCGGTGCGCAATGAGGGACGGCTCAAGTCTCCAGCGCCAGGCTGGAAGGGGCGCGCCGTCCAACAAGAGGGAAGCGGCCCATTGCGCCTCTCGCTCGCGGCGATGGCGGTACCCGGCTGGGAGCGCGCGGCCCGGCTCCTGCTCTGCGCGGCGGGGCTGGCGCTGTCTGCTTACGCTTTCCACGTGGAGACCTCGAAGGAGCGGGACGCCGCCTACCGGGCCATGTGCGACATCAGCGCAGCCGTCAGCTGCTCCCGCGTTTTCACTTCCAGGTGAATGAATGCCCCGCACACACCCGGTTGCTCCACCGCCAGGAGCCCCAGACCTTGTGGGATGATCTCCTGCGATTTGCACCCTGGTGGCATCCGCCGCCCCCGCGGCGCACAACCGGATCCCACGCATGCTTGTTTCCAAAAAGAGGTCCCGCTGGGATTTACTTCCGAGTAAGCGTGCGTGGGATTGCAGCCTGACCCTGTGCAATTGGCACGCTTACTCGGGACGAAAGGCAAAGGGTTGAAATCTCTCCCTACCACCCAGTGGAATTCAAGGTGTGGACTATCCCTGCCCGTGTTGGGTTAAATTCCACTTCTATTAGGAAAGTATTATTTGTCCTGGAGTTTTCTCAGTTCCGCTGAAAAGCTGCAATCGATCTTCTGAATCCTTTCCCGCTTGCAGCACAATTGAGAAAGGGGTCTCTTAACGGGTGGCCGGAGAGGAGGGGGGAAATCGTTAGCAGAAGTCACGGGGATGCTCGCCTAATCTTCTGTAAACAGCCAGGAAGGACGTCCCCAGGGTAACTGACCCTTTATTATTTGACTGGAGAATGTGAATGAGGGGGATGACGTGTCCCTTATGTATGCTGGAGGTGACGCAGAATGGGCCTCCTGTGGTCTATAAAAGATCTAACATTGGTAAGATGCTTCTTTATATTGGCCCAATTTGCCTTAGGCAGCCAATCAGACACTGTCATTGCATGATCTTAGACAATCCACAGTGTTCTATAAAGATTTAAGAATCATAATTACTGTTTATTGCTAACATTCTGCACCATCTCCTCCCACTACAGGTGGGGTCGTGGTTTTGGCTTGGTGGCCACGTTTCTGGGACCTCGTAGCGTGTTCAACCAGCCTAATAGCGTCTTTGGGATTGCTTTCTACACCCTGCAAATCCTTCTGGGTGAGTGACACATGCAGATGGATGCGTCAATGAGAACACAGGTGTCCACACATGTGTCGCTAACACAGCATCCAATCCAAACACTGGGCAGAGGAGAATCTAGCTGCCCATGTTTTCAACTCTGTATGTTACCAGGTGTGATGTCCTCCCCTGACAACTACATCAGGTATTAGCAACATTTAGTAATTCGGGGCAGACCAGAGCTGTTGCCCACTCCTGCTCTGCACTACCTCCAATGTACTACCTCTGGATACAAGGTCAAGGGAATCAGGGAAAGTGCTGTCGCAATCAAGTTCTGCTTGTGGTCTTCCACAGCTGGCCAGTGAGAGAACAGAATGCTGGACTAAAATGAAGGGTGCTCAAAGAAGTGGAGCCAAAATAGGGCCACTGAGAAATGAGAGGAATGTGTAGAGGGGAACTTTGGGGGTTTGCAAGTGTACAAAAATAATAATAATCTAAAGAATGCAAACTCTAGGGGCAGCCCCAAACAGAGAGGACCAAGCATGCTGAGTAGCTACAGAATGTAGAGGGGCAGCTAAAGAGGTGCCGGGGGGGGGGGCGGACAGACACTGAATGGGATGGGTGGAGAAAATGGAATGCCCTGCTTGGAGGGAGGGGCTAACCAGAACCCCGAACAAGAACATTAGGAGGGAGGATATACTGCCACGTTTTGTTGACATTCTCATGTGTATGGTCAAAAACCTTTGTTTCCTTCAGATGATTCACAGGTGGGGATTGGAAATCCAAAGTTGGGCTGGTCAGCCGAAAGGCTGGAGGCCGGTTTTAGCTTTCAATCCCATCTTGCCAGCATGATTTCCCCTTCTGCAGCTGAACACAAAAGTAACCCAGACCTCTTCATCCACACAGGCTTCTCCAACAGCGGCCTGGCGGCCATTGCTCTGCTGGGCTCTTCGGTCGTCTCCATAGTTGGCTCGCTGTACCTGGCCTACATCCTGTTCTTTGTGCTCCACGACTTCTGCGTGGTCTGCATCAGCACCTACCTCCTCAACTTTGCCCTCCTCTTGCTCAACTACAAGCGCCTCGGCTACCTCAACCAGGCCTGGAAGCGCCCCGTGGCCAAAGCCAAGAGGCAGTGAATGAAGGCGGCACCTCAGGCTGGGAAGTCCTGCGAGGGTGGAGGTTTCCCAGGGGTCTCACCTACCTCTGGTGTTTCCTTAAGCACTGGGTTGGATCTGGGCCGAATTCATTGCGCTTAGGTCCCATTGAAATTCAAGGCAAAGGGTTTATCATTAGTCTTATGGACTCCAGTGGGAACTAAATGCAGGTAGCTTGCAACCCATTAATCTGTTTCTATATCACCTGAATGCTCTTCCAGCTTGGAAAACGTCTTCCCAGAAATCGATGAGATCAGCATTCCACTTGTCTGACCCTTCGGACTCCATTCAGATTAGCTTATGAACCTCCATTTTGGAACTTAAATGGATGCAGTTTTTGGTTGGGCTGACCTACAGATACGTAAATCAAGCCCTTTGTTCCTTTCCTTATTTCTTTTTAATACAAAACTTATTTTTATAGCTCTTTTTAGAAAAAAATTGTATACAGAGCAATTTGTAAAATACAGCTATTCGTGATCACATTGAAAAGCGTTGAATTGAGAGCTGTTACGTCTTTTTTCGGTTGTAATAGAGTGCTTTTTTCTGGGGATACTCAAGGTATGCAGTACGGGCACTTCTCTCCCCCCATGTTTTAAAAGTGTGGCACTTACTGCAACAACTTCATGGTGAGTACCATCACCATTTTTCCTTTTTGAAAAAGAGCACTGAATGGATACAAAATTGAGCAGAACCAGCTTGTGACTGGGCTTGGCTTAGTTACTGAAGCACAAACAAAAGCTCATCCTTTCTCACCATAATTAATAACAGCTGCCTTTTACATAACAGGAGGGCCCTTCTGTTAGGAAGGGTGAGGCAGGCCACAGATTGTGAGGTACCATTAAAAAGGTAGCAAACTGTAAATTATTTTCATTAGGCTTGAAACCGCAAGGCCAAGGATGGCCGCTCGAGTTGTTTTTTGACTCTAGTCCCGTTCCCCACCCCCGGGCATGCTGGCTGGGGCTGATTGGATTTCAAGCCCAGCAACATCTGATGAGCACCACTACATGTTTACCATTATATTTGTACCACTACAGTGCGGTGGGAAATTTGGGTTTGCAGCCTTAGATACCAAAAAAAAAAACTGGGTCTGGCAAAAGATGGGCAAGCAGCCACTTTTCAATTTGTTTTCTACAGGCTTCCAGCACAGCTGTCAATACCCATTTTCAAAGAAAGTGAAGCAGAGTAGACCTTAAAACATCTTTGTGCATTAGAATTATCTGTGTAGTGGGGGCGACAGAACCATGCAGCTGACTTAAGCACCCTGGGTCCCTCCAGAAGCCTGAGTCTGCAACTCTCTTCAGTCTCAGCCAGCAGCTGGTCGGGGCTGATGGAAGTTGTGGTCCAGAACATCTGGCAAACACCAGGTTGGCGATGGCTGGCATAGACTATAAAGTCGAAAGTGAATGACTTACCGGTAATTTTTTCCCAATTTGAAATGGTGGTTATATTTCTCTGTACGTACTCCCAGCCAACTGCAGGGGTCACTGTGTAGCCACCGTTAACAGCCTGAAAATAAGCAAGAAATAGTTTTTTTGTATGAAGCACAATAGAGCCATCCAAGAAAGAAAACAGCTTGCCACCTAATGCAAGAAATCATGGTCGATAATGAGAGTCTTGATTGATTCAATCCACATAAAGTTACATATGAACAAAAACAAACACGACTTTTTCTTCTGAATGTACTTTGCTTTTGAGTGTTGTTGCGTCAAGTAGCATCTTAGAAGACGTAGTGAGTCCTGTGCAAAACAGAAAAGGGAATTGGTTTTTTTTAAGGTGCAGCCTTAACTTTTTAAATAAGTGCTTGTATTAATAGGGTCCACCACACTGCTTTGTTTCCCAGATAATCAAGAGCACTGTAAAAACAACCATCAGTCAAAGGATATTTGATTAAACTGACTGATCAATTTAAAATAGCAATCCTAGCAGAAAGAAAAACCTCTGTAACAATAAAAAAAATCTCTGGAGAAAGCAGCCTCTTGAATTCCTAGCTTTCATTTTTATTTTCATTTTTATTTTGTGGGGCAGGGCAAGAGTGGTGGTACCTCATTTTTAATTTCAGGCTCTTCAGAAAAAAGTTCATAAAGACTTTAATAGTGTGTTTGCAGGGATAGACAGGGTCACGCAAATTCACCCATTAGATTATTACATTTTTAATATGACATTGATACCCTGCCTTTCCATATTAGTTTTTTATGAGAAGTTATAGACCTCTTACTCATTAAAAATATCCAAGTGGCGAACAAAATGCACAGATGTATAACAACCCTCAGTAAAACAATATCATGCAACATACAAGATTCCTTCATTATGTCATCCACAGGCAAAACTGATAACAGTTTAGTTGACAGAAGCATTAAGTAGAAAAGTATTTGGTAGGCTTCTGAAAGAGAAAATGGAAGGTGCCTGATTGTCAGTAGAACATAATCCCACAAAGCTGCTGTGACCACAATGAAGGTTCTGTCACTGCAGAAATTGCCCTCTTTGTCCTTGTCTATCACCAGGATGACATTTCAACTACATTCTTCTTGAGTGTTTCTTTGCAACTCTTAGGCATGTCCTGAATTCACTTCATTTATGTACAGTGTGCACTGTGAACAGGGCAGCCTAGATTTGCCCCCTAGCTTGGCATGGAGCTTGAACAGCGCATTGGGAACCCACTGTCATTGGGCCCTGCACACATCTCTCTCAGCCTAATCCAATGGAAACTCTTCCAGCATCAAATCAGAAGATGAGCAAATTGCTGCTTTCTTGTAGAACTGGCTCGTCTCTTCCACAAAGTGTTCAGCCCCTAAGGAATGGTCTGGGATCAGTTCACTGGACTCTGTCTATGCATGGCTTCGCCAATAACAGGACATTCTGCCTTACATGCAGCCTGTGGTTTAGAAATGTTCCCCCTCCTCACAGGATCAAAACAATGTTTCAGCTGCAGCAGAAGCAACGCTTATAAGCTGGAAGCAAACATCCTGTTGTGCCACTGAATTTAACCACCTCTGACAGGAGGTGCTTATGCTGCTCCTGTTCTAGCTGCAGAAGTTTGTTTCTCAGCAGAGACGCATAGTCTTCAGAAGCATCTCTTTAAAGTCCTTCATTTTGAACAGTCCCTTCTTGATCTTCCCAATGTTCTTCCAGGGGCACTTCTGGTGTTTTAGAAATCTTCTCTTGCAACCTCTTGGACTTTTGTAATGATTGCCATGTCAAGATTGCTCACAACGTAACATTCATCCAGTTATGGTTTCAAATTGGGAGGCTGTGTGTTGAGATTCCTGCATCACAGGGGGTTGGACTGGATAACTCTCAGGGTCCCTTCCAACCCTACAATTCTATGATCTTCATATGCTTGCATCCCAAAGGATTGTGACTTCACAGCTGTGCCTACCATTCCTCTGATGGGACTTTCACAATGTCGACATTATTTCAGCCCCACTCTGTCAGTGTAACTTGTAGTCAACACCTGAGCTAGCTTATTGAGTAATTCCAGTGCTTTCTCTGATTCCCCAGCTTTGTCACTGAAGATACAGTAATGTAATACAAGATCAGAGTCAACAGTGTTTCAAATATTACCAACAATTCAAGCTGTGCCTCACTTTAGCCTTGTTCCTTCTAAAATTCTAGGCACACTTGTGAGTATGTCCCATTGAACTCAATGGGAAAGGGATGTAGCTCAGTGGGAGAACATCAGTTTTGCATGCTGAAGGTCGTAGCTTTGATCCCTGGCATCTCCAAGTAGGGCTTTGAAAGATTCCTTGCCTGAAACCTTGGGGAGCCACTGCCAGCCTGTGTAAGCAGTACTAAGTTAGATGGACCAAAGAGCTGACTATCCGATATAAGGCATCTTCCTATGTTCCAGTGGGACTCCTAAGTGCTTAGGGTTGCATTTGTCTCCCAAACATGAAGGGAACTATAATTATTCTTTTAACCATCATCCCCATTCCTGCCATGCAGCCTTCTCTCACTTCACTGCTCACTGCTCATGAAATGTTTATGCTACAGTTAAGAACTCGATCCTATATACCGGTATATGTGGAAATTAGTTTCCACCTCCGTATCATGGCAACCTGGCCATCCTTCGCAGAGATAGGCAAGCCAAAACCCATTTATTTATTTCTAACATTTATAGCCCAAACTCCAGCGGCAATTGGCATAGGAATTCTGCATAGGTCAGGCTTAATTGTGTGTTGTTGTGGTACAGTATCTCATTTGTGAAATAAGTTCCTTGTTGCGGCACGATGCGTGTCAGCCAAAATTTAAATTATTTGACACGTCTTCTCTTGTACAAATACTCTGGTTTGAATTTGATTCTTGTCAGAGGCTTCAGATGTGCACTTCGTAGTGGGGGACCAGTTTTCCGATGCACACATCTGATACATAAGCACATTCAAACCCTTGCACTATTATTTATTACTGATATTCCACCTTTCCTCCAAGAAGCTGGAATATACATGGCTCCCTCCCTGAGAGGCAGGTTAGGCCGAGAGACAGACGAGCCCAAGGTAACCCAGTGAGCATCATGACTGAATGAGGATTTAAACCCTGGTCTCCCAGGCTCTCGCCCAACGTTTCTAACCACTACACCATGCTGCCGTGACTGCATTATGAAGCTCACACCATAATAACATTGGTTGGTTTGTAAGGTGCTCCTCTTTAAACACAGCAGTTAACCTGTGTCCCAAAAATGTGCTGAAAACGTCCGCCTTATGCCTTCCCGTCTTTTAGCAGGAATTGTTTTCAGCTTGCCCTGTTCCCTGTTTTGCCTCATTGACGGACTGCATTTCCCATGAGGCGCTAACTTAAGCAAAAAAATTTCCCCACCATAATTCCGCTTTATCGCGCAGGGGTTTCTGGGTATCGTAGTTTCGTCTGCGCACTGCAGGCACCCAGAGGGCGCGTTGATGAGACTACATTTCCCATGCTGCACTGCTCCCTTCCTCCGTCAGAGACTGCCTTGTCGTCAGTCCCCTTCCCCGCACCCAGCCACCCACCCCTAACGAGAAAGAGACAGCTGGTTCAGTCCGGTCCCCAAGTGCGGGAGCTGCTGCGGTGTTTGGAATTGGCGGTAAGGGATCCTCTGTGGAAAGTACCATTGTGAATGCTGCCGGGGGGGCGGAGGCTCGTGCGTTACAGTCTGTACCTCGAGGGTGGAGAACAGGATGCAAAACTGCTGGGTTTCTAGCAAGGAAGAAGCGGGTTAGGAGGGAGACGACTGGGAGGGAGCCGCGATTGTCATTGGGTTCCCTTCTCAGCATAGGGAGGAGCCTCGTGGGCTGGTAAATGGAGGTGGCGTTGGGGAGCCCGGATTCCTTGGATCTCCGGAAGGGAAGACAGCAGGAGGTTTTAGAGGAGACAGGTGGGGTTGGGGATCCCGGGTCCTCTTCAGTCAGGAGGGTAGCGCGTGCTTCTTTGAGTTTGGGGCGGGCCAGATTAGAGCAGGGGATGATGAGTGTTTAAACTCCTATAATCTATGGGGAGGACTTCTGGGTAGATCTTTGGGTTAACGACTCCTGGTCCCCCAGTGTGTCTG